GGACGGCCTGCTGTAAGACAATGCGATTCGTGCCGAGACGGGCGTGTTCCAACCAGTGACAGGCTAAGCGGAGCTCCACATGGCATGTGCTTGTATTCTGGTGATAACGGGATTTCGGTTCTGTTACTAAGAGATATTGTTATTGTTAAAAATCAGCCTTTTTGCAAAATAAAAAAATGTGCGTTTTTTTGTAAAAGCGTTACAAAATTATGAATATAACGTGGGTTGCAGGTTGAGGCACGTCGTGATTTGCTCAACAAATCGGTGCTCTTTCATACTCACTACATGGAAATCACGGAATGGTACGGGCGAATGGACGTGAAAAACAGTGAGTACGAGAGAGTGTCGGGAAGTATCCAGGAAGGTGAACGCCGCAAGGAGGAATGGATGAATGAAAGTGATGCAACGGCACAGGTATGCTTTGGGCATCTGTCATTTCTTCGTTTTGTATTTTTTAGTGTTTCCGCATTCGCGATAAACAAGTCGATGCTATTGTTAATAATGTTACTATTATCAGCAATGATTATAACAATAATCATTATTAGCATTATTATTATTATTATTATTATTATTATTATTATTATTAATGCTATTATTATTACTGCTGCCACTATCATTGATATTACTATCACTATAATTATTATTTATTATTATTACTGCTATTATTATTTATTACTCTTACTGTTATTTATTACTATTGTTACTATTGTGTAGTTCAGTGGTTCCTATTTTAAAAACATTCTCTTTATAGGCATACGCAACAACAATGGGTGAAGGCAGACAGCTAATTAAGGCTTTGGAACACCAAGCTCAAATGATGAACATTGATAATCGGGAAACGGTTGCTGTAATTCAACGTCTAATCAACGATATTGGTACATTTTTGGTTCTTATCGTCGTCACTGGTTGACTTTACAATAGAAGCTTACCATATATCTCCCAAAGAGCTCTGTTTTCAGAAATGTGCCATGCAAAATTAGCAGATCGTTGGCCGCATCAACGAAGAGCTCTTCAGTTGGGTGTGAAATTTGCTGTTTTCATCAAAGAATGCAAGGAAATTATTGAACAGCTGAAGGTGCAGAGGAAATTTTGCTATTTTTTTTAATGTTGTAACTTTATATTTACTTAGGGGTTTATTTTTTATGAGGCTGTGCTATGTGTGCCATAGCAGTGATTACACTGATAATTATTGAAAAAGTGGTAGCGATATGATAACCACAGTCTCCTTTTTTTCAGTTATGTCATTGTTTCTTTTTTTTTTTTTTTTTTTT